TCTATGAAATGGTTCCATAAAAAAAAAATATTTCAAACTATTCAAAGTATGAGATAAATATGTTTGTGAGACATGTACAAGACAAAAGAAAAGATACTTAGCACTCCCTGACTTACAAACAATGGACTTGACAGACATTTTATAATCTGAACAGCTTAGGTCTTCAGTAGGCTCTTCCTGAAGCCTCAGAAGGGAGAGATGTTCTCTGCAACAATGTTCCCTTCTTGATGTTATGGGTGGCTGTCACTGCTTGGGTGGTAAAAAGATGGGGGAAATGTTTCCTTTTCACTTTCGACTGAACATACCTGCTCACAGCAAAAATACTGCTAAGTGATGACCAAGGTCCAGACTGGACCACAAACATTTAACCAATTACTATTATTATATTAGTTTAGCCACATTCTGCCACGTTTTCACACGCTGATATGTAAAGTTACATGACTTCTCTTCATGGAGACTTGAAGCACATTCTTGACATCCCACAGAAAGTACCTGTGATGTGTTCCTACAGTGTGCCACCTTACCATCCAGCTTCTAGCACTGGACTTGATCTTGTTGAGAAGGGTAAAGACTAACCTGCTAAATGCACCTCCAAGTATACAAAAATCTATTATTTACTTATCTTTTCACCTATCAATATACCCTTATCTGATAAAGCCAACAAAACAATGACACTGCTGTAGGAAAAATGCCTCAACACTAGAAATAAATGCTTCAGTTACAGGTAGAGAGAGTCCATTAGTATACCCAGAATACGTGAAGAAAATTGAGGAATTTGGACAGAAGCTAAGAGGGGTGAGGTGACAAACTAATTTCTGGTAATCATGAAACGAACCTATTATTTTTGCCGGTTCACAAATACTGCTGTGGAGCCAGAAATATTTCTTGTAGTGCAAAATAAATTTCCAGATACAGCTACAGAAACTGTAGTCTTCAGAAATATTTAAAACTAGAGACCTTGGGGCAGCTGGGTAACTCAGTAGGTTAAGCATCCAACTCTTGATTTCAACCCTGAACCCACGGTTCAGTTCAGGAGTTTGAGCCCCACGTCGGGCTCTGTGCTTGACAGCACGGTGCTTGCTTGGGGTTTCTCTATCCCTCCTCCACTTGCACGTGCACATGTGCATGCTCCTTCTCTCAAAATAAATAAGTATTTTTAAAAATATATAAAACTAGAGACCTTGTGGAAATACTTTATTGTACACCTGAAACTAGTATTACTGTTCTCTGCAACATTTTTCCCTTCCTGATGTTTGTATGTTAACTGTATGTTAGCTGGAATTCAAATAAAAACTTAATAAAAGCAAATAAAACTAGAGACCAAACCAGCCAGTAACCAACCATACCGGTGAAGAGGTAAATTTTTCTTTCTCCATCTTAAAGTTGAAACCAAGAATGACAGAAAATTCTATATAATAAAGAGCAGGAAGGAAAGGCCAAAGATTATGACTGCCAGAAAGCTACTCATATATTTTCTCATCGTTTCATTATTATGAATCTCAAAAATTAGAGGAATCACTCATATAATGGGTAAAAGGAGCTGAGTTGAAGAAGCTGAAGTTAAAGAAGCTGAAAGTCCTATCAGAAGTCTGAGTATATAATAATTTGTAACTGTTGAGATTGCTGAAAAAATTACCTTTCATTTTCTCTGGAGAGCCATAAAAAGCTTCTCTGTTAAATGGGATTCCTCTTTGAGAGACCATGGACAAACCCATTCACATTAAAAATAAAAACTCTGAAGTTCTTAAATACATGGGAACCATTCAAGTGAAAGGGGAAAATGGTTCAAAACTTTCAGATTCTACAAGTGTAAATTAAAAATCTTACCTATTACCTAAAAAGCCAAAAGATTACTGGTAGTGAAATTCTCACAAAATAAGGGATCATATTGGAAATACAAACAGTAAGACAAAGAATAAAAATTTTAAATGCAATTTAATCTGTGAAATAACTGAAGACACTCAACCTCATTCAAAGATGAAATCACAGGTACTTAAGTAACTTAGGTTACCCTGGGCTCTCTACTTTCATTTTAGAGACTCTCATTTTGTAGAAGGTGCTAGCATCCAATTTCTAAAGGTTTTGTGGGTTGGTTGAAAGGTGGCAAGCCGAGAGAGAAGAGTGGAACAACATCCTAAGGCTTCCACCTAGGCCGGCCCCAGTAACCCCCGAGAAGTGAACATTGCAATAAATTACAGCAACATTTAAGATATTAATTCTACAAGATTAATTCTTTAAGATATTAATACTACATCTACTTCACACAATGAGTTTGTTAAAGGACAAATTCCTTACACTTCTTTGTATCACCTATGCTTGGAAACAGGTTGTTTCTGTCTTGATGGGAGTAACATCAGATATGCTTCATTTTAACGACACTGTTGGAAATCAAAGTGTCAAACCCAGAATCACTGGGAATGTGTGGCAAACTGTGCAACGAGAAACTTGTCCAGTTCATCTAACAATGATCTTTTCAGTGTTAAGAAGTATAGGTTCAAAGAAGAACATATACATCTATGATGATTCTAAAACACTTTGAACACTCTAAGCAACCTGTATTAACACAACTGAAACCTGATAAATAAGCACACTAGACCCAAGACCTTAAAGTACATTGAGCACTTTGAGGACATCTCATCAATTATTACAGTTTATGGAAACACTAATTACCTGATTCGCTCTGTCGCAGGGAGGAGCTATTAAACAGGGTTTCAGCCCACAGACACACATAATCCACGCTGAATAAACAATTCTTCAAAATATTTTTCTGTGCCTTAGTATAATTAATGCCACATATACAGGCATCAGGAGAAACATGCAAAATAGCCAAAAAGAGGGTTCAAAGTAAGGAGCATTAACTCTTTCACTGTCTCTCATCCTCAAGAATCTATTTCTGCTGTAATAATCTTTTCTCTCAATAAAAATTTGTGACTAAATGAAGTTATATTCCGCTCTGGTTTTATCCAGTTAACAAATCACTGTAACCCAAAATTCATTTCTATTTGATTTTTGAGGAGGCCAAAGTTTTATTGAGATGAAGTGCAATTTGCATTTCAGGCTAACGACTTGCCGGAAGACTGCAAAACACAACCAGGAGTATTTTGGACAGTTGAGTGAATGAGAGTCTGATATTAAATGACTTCTCTGTAGTCACAGAGAAACACAGGTGACAGTAATTTGAAAACTCACATACCAATTTTCCTCTTTCTGTAGAATATCACCAATTCTATCAAAGTTTTTCTTTTCTAATGCAACCCTTTAAATGTAACATAATACCGAACTAAGACCTTTATATAATGTTGAAAATACGTTTCTATTACTTACATTCAACTTAAAACTGCAGTTGTGGAGATTAAATAGCCTAGTGCCTGGCACTTGTTAAGAGATCGGTAAGTGTTGGTCGTATCATGTGATTTACAGAAATAACACTTAAATGTGCTTATCCTTCAGGTAGATCTGGTTACAATTACACGCTAATAACTGATTAACCAAATTGTGTTTTGTAGTCATTTCAGTCAATGGGATTCCCAGAAGGCTATATACTTCCTACCTTTCGATGATATCTGCCCATACTAAGCAGAAGTGCCACAAAGTCCTGGGAGAGTTACTAGAAGCTGAATTGCAAGGCAAGTTTGGCTACAGTTATACCCAGTAACACTACCTTCCACTACCTAAGAGGTCAAAATGGTTCAAGGTCTTAGGCACATCTAAGAGCTGGAGCCGCAGCCTCCAATCACCACTGCTGTTTTCTTTAGCTACTTTTACCCTAAGCGTACGTAAGGGGGAGGGCGGTTTCCTCTGGGTTCTGCTTGACTGCCTTTGAAGCAGCTGCCAAATAAAACCTCAACGTTTTAGGGGAAGGTTTGCGGGGGGAGCGGGGGGGGGGGTGCTTTCTGGTGAGCATGACCCGGTCTTAACCCTCCAAAGCTGAATGCAGGTGTTCCATAAATGTATACCCACTGGGCACTGAAATAACACTGAACACAGATGGCACCTACTATGTACCAGGCACTATTTGGAAAGGTTTACATACGTGTCACGCGTTTAAGCCTCACGACAACCTCATGGGGTAAGTACTCGTACGTATTATCTTCCCTTTAGAGATAGGGCAACTGAGCACCAGAGGTTTAAAAAAACTTGCCCAAGGTCACAGGGTTAGTGAATGGTGAGGCAGGTGTTTGAACACGACCAGTTTCCGGATTTCACACTCTTAACGTACTATACGGCCTCTCAGTCAAGAGGAATAAAATTAGGAAGACTGAAAATGAATGGGCAGGATCAACTGGAGACTCGAGGAAGCCCAAGGCCCCCTTTTCTGTCTGCAGTAAATGAACGGGCATTTCTGGAGCACACCAGCTTTAGCAGGCGCAAGGAGCCGCGGCTGACCTCCACGCGGACTTTGCAGAGCTCCCGTCCCCATTAACCGCCGAAGGGCCCAGTAGCCCCTTGTCCCGGAGTCGGAGCGGAATGCACGGTGCGAAAGCAAAAACAAAAGACCCGCGGCTCCCCGGACGCCCCGCAGCGCCCTAGGCGGCACCAAACAGCGCGCCCCGAGGCCCGGGCCGCCCTCCCGCGTTCTCCAGCGTCCGGCCCGCCTTGGACCCAGGCCCCGCCTCAGCCCCGCCGGTGCCCTACCCCGGGCCGCCCACGCCGCCTCACCGGCTTCTGGGCGACGCCCGACAACACGCGGGAGACAGCTGCGAGCATTTTCCTCATGGGTTGCCGGCAGAAGCGGCGACGACTACTCCCAACAACTCAAGCGCCGTGGCCCCGAACCCTCCAAGTCTCCTTCAGGCGCCCGGAGCGGAAGCCACGCCCTAACCGCTACGTGACAGAACGGAAAGACGTCAGGCGCCGCGCCGGCCGCAGGCCTACCGGGAAGGCTCCTAAGGCGCGCCCCGCCCACCAAAAAGGCCCGCAGCCGCTCATTGGGTGTGGGAGCCAGGGCGGGCGGGGTTGGGGAAACTCCCGTCACCGCGCCACCGGCGGGTGAGGATCCGGGAACTTGAGGACGCCTGCCTGGGAAAGTGGCGCCCGGCTTCCGGGGCCCTGCGGGAAAATGGCCTTTTCCTTGGATTTTGCAACTCTGATTCGGCGTGCACGATTGGAAATCGTGCAGGTCACCTACAGTGAGCCCAGTCCTGCCGGTGCTGCACTTCTATAGCCTTCGGTCAATACACGGGATGATTCAGATTAATGGCACGGTTGGAGCCAAAAGAGAGAATATTTGGTTTCTGTAAATGGTTATGCTGCCAACTTGAGTTTAAGAGGTCATATAACAATTGTAGAATGCTGTCCTTTCTACCTGAGCCAGGATAAAAAAATCGGTTCCCCAAGTAAATACTGAGAGATCAGTGAGAGTGTAGCAGGATTCTCGCACTGATAGTCGTGACACCGACATCGAGGCTTTTCTTTCCTGGAAGCAATTTATATTCCTGCCAGTGGCACCGCTCAGTTGGGTTCGTATCCAAACAACTGAGCCCCGAACGCCACGTGGGGTATTTTTTTATATACTTTTTACTTCTTTGTTTCTCATATATGATAACACATAGTCTGATTAAGTGGTCTCATGTTACAAGGTCGTAAAGGATGTTGTCAAGTACATAGCAAGGTTGAGGGGTTTTTTTTCTTTCCTTAGGAAGGACACCCTATGACATCCCCCCCCACCCTTGGATGCTCGGACCCCTTTATTTAGGGTCAAAGAGCATCACCTTGGTTTAGAGGTTTATTTATATAGGCTGTTCTCCCACATATCTAGTATAGTCCACCTGAGGCCTGCCATTTGATGGCCACATTGACATTGTCCCAGGCCTCTCAGAGATGAGACAAGTTAGACAAGGGGTGGGGATCTGGCTCAAGGTTATCTGGGGTCCCCCATCATTGGGTTTTTTTGGGTAGTTGCGTTATAAAATCTTTGGCCTAGGCACATTAAGTTTTGAACAGAGACGACGGTGAACTTTTTCTGCACTAGGCAGGACAGTTTTTTTTTCCCAATAATTGAGCTTTTAAGAAGCCAAGCCTGGATAGTAGGACTGGGGTGTTTTGTCCTACTATAAGGCTTGTGGGGATCCAATTTTTTAGTCTCTTATGTCCATTGTTTCCCCATGTTGGTACCAACGAAGTATTCTATCCACAAAAAGAAGGTGAGTGTTAACAGAAACCTCGCTTCATATTTTTAGCCGGCCGGGGAGGGCCTCGGCCAATCCTATGGCAAAGAGTAGAGCAAGAATCACAATAATACTGAGAAATGGGGAGTGACAGTGCATCACAGTAAGGAAACATATAGAAAATAAGGACAGTCTTTTGTTTCATCGAACTGTCGATCCCTCAAACTTCTGCCGTGCATAGTTAGCTTCCGGAGTGGCTAAAGCAGGGCTGCAGTCTCCCAGAGCCTCTGGGGTTGCAGATTGCTTCTTCCATATGGTCAGCTTGCACAGTGTTGGTGGATCAGTAATGCACTCCCAGTTTCGAGATGCTGGCCTCACTCTGCTGTAGTGAATCCAGGGACCCACTTCGGCTACCTGTAGTGCAGGTGGGGTGGACAAAATGACAGTGAACAGGCCCCTCCAGAATGGTTTTAGGGGTTGGATATTTTATTCCTTTATCCATATTGCATCTCCTGGTTTAAAGGGGTGAATGTCTGTGGTCAGATTCACAGGTAATCGTTCCCTGACCCAGTGGTGTAAGGTGGTTAGGTTAAGGCCAAGGGCCTGCATCTGTTGTTTTAGGGTTAGATTGTCTATCTCATTTAGATCCCCCCTTATGCCCTGGATAATGGGGGTGAGGACACCCATAAAGGATTTCATAAGGGGAGAAAGCACGAGCCGGGGGAGGAGCCGAGGGTGGGGGGAGAGAGAGAGAGAGAGAGAGAGAGAGAGAGAGAGAATCTCAAGCGTGGAGCCTGATGTGGAGCTCCATGTCACCATAGTGAGATCATGACCTAAGCCAAAATCAAGCGTCAGATACTTAGCCCACTAAGCCACCCAGGTGCCCCTCCAATTTGTAATGAGTAGGATATTTTCTCACTTTTTTTTCTGCCAGAAATGTCAAAACTAGAGTTGGAAGTGACCCCAAAGGTAAGGGACACTTCAGGTGTTATATGAGTGGTGACAAGCTAAGGTTGCAGTTAATAGTCATTGGCTATGGGCCATGGTGATCTCATCTGTGCTAGAACGTTAACAAAGGACTCTTGCACCTGGAGGAGGAAAGGCCAGGGAGATGGAGAAATAATTATAAAAGGCAGGGACCTGAGGAAGAGAAAATCTTAAGAAAGAGGAGAATAAAAAATAACAAGTGTTGGGGAAGGTGTGGAGAAAAGGAAACCCTCATGCACTGTTGGTAGTGATGTAAATTGTTGTGGCCACTATGGAAGACAGTATGGAGGTTCCTCAAAAAAATTAAAAATAGGGGGCGCCTGGGTGGCTCAGTCGGTTAAGCATGTGTCTTCAGCTCAGGTCATGATCTCATGGTTCATGAGTTTGAGCCCCACATTGGGCTGTCTGCTGTCAGCGTGGAGCCTGCTTTGGATCCTCTGTCTCCCTCTCTCTCTGCCCCTCCCCGCTGTGTCCCTCAAAAATAAGTAAACATGGGGCGCCTGGGTGGCGCGGTCGGTTGAGCGTCCGACTTCAGCCAGGTCACGATCTCGCGGTCCATGAGTTCGAGCCCCGCGTCGGGCTCTGGGCTGATGGCTCAGAGCCTGGAGCCTGTTTCCGATTCTGTGTCTCCCTCTCTCTCTGCCCCTCCCCCGTTCATGCTCTGTCTCTCTCTGTCCCAAAAATAAATAAAAAACGTTGAAAAAAAAATTTTTTAAAAAAAATAAGTAAACATTTTTTTTAAAAGTAATATTTAAAAAAATTAAAAATAGGACTACCATACGATTCAGCAATCCCACTTCTGGGTATCTATGTGAAGAAAATGAAAATACTAAAACCCCATATAGTAAACTAATATGTTCACTGCAGCATTGTGTACAATAGCCAAGGTATGGAAATAACCTAAGTGTCCATCAATGGATGAATGGATAAAGAAGATGCAGTCTGTATGCAAAATGGAATATTAGCCATAAAAAGAAGGAAATGGTGCTATTTGCAACAACATGGATGGAACTTGAAAGCACGATCCTCAGTGAATTAAGTCAGACACAGAAAGACAAATACCATATAATCTCACATGTAGAATTTAAATAAAGATAAGAACAAAAACAAAACCTGGGCTTATAGACACAGAGAACAGATTGGTGGTTACCAGAGGTAGGAATGGGCGGTGGGGGAAATGGGTGAAGGGAGTCAAAATGCAGAAACTTTCAGCTATAAAATAAGTAAGCCCTGGGGGTGGAATGGCGACCTTAGCTGATAATATTGTATTGTATATTTGAAAGCTGCTAGGCGATTAGATCTTTAAAATGCTCATCACAAGGGGACAAAAGGCACTGTGTGGTGGTGAATGTTACCTAGACTTCCTGTGGTGATCATTTCACAATATGTACAAATTTTGAATCATGTTGTGCACCTGAAGCTAATATGATGTTATATGCCAATTATCTCCATTTTAAACCAGAAAAAGAATCCCTTCATTTCTTAAAGGAAAATAAACACTGACGGGTTCTATAATAATGTAAAAAAGGGGGGCGGGGAGGACTTCAGAGCTTGGGTGGAACTGGAGATGAGGGACTCCTTCTCTCTCCAGTGCTCCTGTCGTCCACTGCTCTCTGCTCTCCACTCTCGGTGAAGCCGGAGGATTGGGAGAAATATGCTTTTTGACCTTTCCTTTGCAAAGCTCCCCAAAACTACAATCGAGCTGAACTTTAGGGCAAATCATGGTCCTTACACGCCTTTGGCTTTCTTGGTGGGAGTTGTCCCCACCCGTGAATGACTTGGCATAGAAGGATCATGGATCATATACCCAGGTGAAAAAGTCAGTGGCTACTTGAGTGTTTGGTGTGCTAGGCCCCAAGCTGGTGGAAGGATTATGGCTAAGGGCTATTTTGACTTTGGAACCATATAAATGTTTTACGTAACCATAAAACAAAATGGAATAAAAACAGAAATGAGGGGTAACCAATGAATTTAACCATATACCAAGTTGCTGACATAATGGCACAGAGAATGGCCTGGAGCTATTGACTAATGCAGTAGTAAAACCAGAACAAAAACAGCTGCTAAAGACATCTTAAATTCTTTTCAGTTTATCTGTGTTATTGTTATTTCTAGATTACACACACACACACACACACACAAAGTGAATATATAATTATGTTAATGTCATTAGGAATCAAGATTTTCTGCATAAAATGGACACAAATCAAAGAAGTCAAAGCCTGGTGGTCCCGAATTTGAACTGGAAATAGCAGTATAAAACTATCTTCCCTTAAAAGATACACAGTAAAACCTTGCTTTGTGAGCATAATTCGTTCTGCAAACATGGTTGTAACCCAAAGCACTTGTATATCAGAGTGAATTTGCCCATAAGAAATATTGCAAACTCGGGCGCCTAGGTGGCTCAGTCGGTTGAGCGTCCTGACTTCCGCTCAGGTCATGATCTCGCAGTCCGTGAGTTTGAGCCCCGCATCGGGCTCTGTGCTGACAGCTCAGAGCCTGGAGCCTGCTTCAGATTCTGTGTCTCCCTCTCTCTCTGCCCCTCCTCTGCTCATGCTCTGTCTTTCTCTCTCTCTCTCTCAAAAATAAATAAACATTAAAAAAAATTTTTTAAGAAATATTGGAAACTTAGGTGATTCGTTCCACAACCCAAAACTATTCATATAAAAATCATTACAATACTGTAATACAAAATAAGAAAATCAAAATAGAAAAATTAAAAAAATTAACCTGCACTAAACTTTGAAAACCTTCAGGGCTGGTGTGAGGGAGACGAGAGAGGAGGGTTATTGTGTAGGGCGACTTTCACTCTGACTAATGGAATCATTGCTATCTATTGGCTCAGTGGAATCTTTTTCTTTTTGTGCAACTTTAACAAGGAACTTATCCAATGACACTTGCTTTTGCCTCCTTTTGAGGATTTCTTGGAATGTGACAATGCATTGTCATTAAAGAGATTCCTCACTCACACTGCTGCAGCCTTATTCGGGTGGTGCTTTTCTACACAATTTCGCACTTCTTCCCACATTTCACACATCTCCCTAATCTCACTTGAAGTGAGGGATTCCACCGCCTT